AACTGCTTAAGTGCAATGAGTACATTAAAATTTAGAGATCAACTTTATGCCCCAAATTCTTCAAAGTTTCATCGTTCTCCTTTCATTGCTGCAGAGCCCCGGTGCCAACCATTTTTTAATTAAAAAGGCAGAGAAGAAGGCAGGTTTGGCCACGCAGCCAATGACAACTGGACAGCCCTGTCCCACAAAGAGCTAGAGAAGGCAGGGCAAGCAGCCACAGAGATGCCCATTTGACAGGGACAGGCAAATCCTATTTACACCAGTGATGCTGGGAGATTTAAAGGGCACAGGGAGACCTGAGAAGTAAATATAGGTCTGACGAGAAAATAAGGTAAAATACATGAAGGAGACTTGTTCAGCATCCTGGGGCTAAGTAACCACAAGCTGACCTCCAGACCCACTTGCAGTCGAAGTTCTGCAGACCTGCTGTGCTCCTCAGCCTTGTGGGGCGGAAGAGGGAAGTGCATAAAAGGGCAGTGGCTGGAGAAACACCTCCACACACAGCCCAGCTGACAAAATAAGGGCAAATTGAGTGTTTCCCCTTTCCAAACAAGGAGGTTCAGAATTCAGGGAAGTGTGAGAAAGGGGTCCAGGAAAAACCACCACCAGAAATTCACATGATGTGCAGAGGACAGGAGGAGATACATGGGGGTGCATCAGCAGAAATTCTACAAAGCTCTTAGTAACAAGGGGCTTTTACCTGCCAGAATGGTTCTTAAGACAAGAGACTTCAAGTACAGCAGCCCGATCTCCCCAACAGATATAAAAACTCCAGAGATCCCACTCACCCAGACTTTATGAGTAGCCAAGAAATACTGCCCAAGTGTGTGAAAGCTCAACGATGGAAGGCACTGAGCCCCACCAAGGGAACACACACCCTCCTTTCCCATGCAGAACCCCCGAGCAGGGGTGGCACTGGACTTCAAGATGCCATCCTGCAGCTGGCAGTGTTTAAACTCAATGCAATCACACACACAGCTTTGGTGGAAGGTCCATTACCTTCTCTCCTGGAGAAAGGTCTCCCACTCCCAAGTTAGGACACCATCTACATAAAATGCACTATTCAAATCTTTTGGCACCACAGCTAGCACGTTGGTTCTGGAAACAACGCCAAGATCCATACCCTGACTCTCTGCTCAGAAGCACGGAGCTGTGATGGAAGAAACAGTCTTCTCTTAAAGCTGCTAAACCAGACCAATACTGTCAACCAGATCTCCTTCTGTCTGCTCAGACTTCATCTGTGCGCTTAGACTACTCTTAAGCAGAGGCTCTTCAGTACCAATACTTATTACAATGATTTTAAAAAGCTTTTCTGCTCACATCCCTTTATAACCCTATTCTGGTAAGCTACTAAAACTCTTGGCAATAGAAGTGTAAACTTTTAACTGTGTATGTTTCTGCTGCTTCTGATAAACACCTGTGAAATTTGCCATGCTTCTGGTTGCAAGATGAACAGCAGGCCCCTACGGGTATCAGAACAGGAGATTCTGGTTTCCTCATCCACAGGCTCTTTCTCCAGTGCTCATACACATCTTCAGTTCAAGGAGGAATTCAGAAAAAACTGCATATTTTTAAAAGAAATAAAAATGGAACCACATGTGAACAAACCTCAACACCTGGGAGAGAATAAAACCTGACCAATATAATACAGCAAGATAACAGTATTTTACAAGACAGGACAGCCCAATTCATTTGCAAAGGGAATGAGACAGAGGAGTAACTCATTTGCCATGCATATCAAATAAGAAAGGCTCCTAAGGAAGATGTATTTGTACCCAGCTCTGTTTGCTCACACATTTTACAAATACTGGCTTTCATTTGGGTAATGAGTTTGCAAAGGCAGGTACAGGACCACACAGGACTGTCCAGAACAGCACAAGCTTTAGCAGACCAGTTGAGGTGCCAGTGGCGATTAGCTGGACACGCTCAGCTTTGCACCCTGCTTCTCATTAGCATTAATTATCCCTCATCATACCTCTGCTGCTGCCAGGATGAAAACTGGCTCAGGCAGTAGTTTCACAGTCCTTCATGCCAACTGTGGAGTTGCCAGAGTGCACAACAGAGACCTTATATTGGCCCCGTGTCTTTCTGCCAAGGGCAAAGGAGAGCAGAGACCTGGCTGAGCAGAAAGCTGGAGACCTCTCAATGTTACTTTAACCTGACAAAAATGTTTGAGTGAATTTGAAACACCAGAGCTAAGGCTCAGTTTCGTAACGTGCTTCACCTGGCCTAGCAGTGATGGCTGAGGGAACGCCCCATCCAACACGCATTCCCTGTGATGGAACGCCCTCGCACACAGCTCAGCGATGCTGGTTGCAAGGTAGACTGAGGCTCCACCAGGTCCACCCCCAGAGACAGGATCACAGTGCCAGGGGCTTGATTAATGGTGCTCAGGGTGTCCCCGCCCTCCCCAGTGGGAGCTGCTCTCAGGTTCTCACCTCACTAGCAACACAACAAGATTCGTTTTGGTGAACCAAAGTGACCTTGTAGAAAAGCAGACTCTGCACATGCAGCTCAACAATTCTGCCAGATAAAGTGTTTCTATCACTAGAAAGTCACACTTTCAAATAATTTTCACCCCGAGGCCATAATCTCGAAAGACACACTTAAAAATGTGTAGAACATAAAATGAGTGATTTTTTTTGATTGAGGTTAAGGAAAGAAATCCCTCACAGACATAACACTTTATTGATATTCTTGGTCACAGCTCTACACATGCTGAAGAGGATCAGCTACTGGTAAGGACCACAATTCATGTCTTTCCATTTAAACCCTGCAACAAAGAATAAAACTATTTCACAACAAAAGGGAACCCTTTAATTTGCTAGAACAATTTCAGCTCCCATTGCATTAGCACCCTCCAGTGTCCAATACATGAAAAACAACTTCTTCACTAATTTACCAAGCAGACGCAGACTTGGAGCCTGAAACACAAGACACAGGAGTGGTGGACTCCTGGGAGGGAAGATGGCAACTGATGATGAGAAAAGAAACTCCCAACGCTAGAAATTTTAAATGCCATTGTCACAGTCTCTGAAGAAGATCTGACACGGGGTTAGTACTCGTCAGGCTCCTTTGTTCCTAGCAGGCATGCTGGCGTCTGCCCCTTCGGCACAACAGGCTCTACGTGCCCACACTGTATATTCCACACTCTGCAGCGTTCCACTGAGATGTGGATGCTGCCTTTGACTGATGTAGTACAGGCATGTGGGTATGGATCTGCCCGGAATATGCCAGGCAAATGAACACATGTAATAAAACCCTCTCGTGCGTGGATGAGGCCAACGCGCGCTTGGCTCGCTGAGGGCAGACGGCTGACCGTGCTTACATGTGCAAGGCTCTTCTCTTACAGCAGAATCACCAAGCAAAGAGAGAACAACAGAAAAAACAGCTGCACTTGCCATTAAAAAGAGCTGGATGAAGGGGTTTTTTTAACTTTTTCCAATACAAAAATCTTTCACAGGCAGAGAGAGCCCAGAAGGCTCTGGAACATGGCAAGTAAGAAAAATCAGCTCTGGGTACCCACTTGATAATAACACAAATACCTGGTCCACCTTTTCCAGGCAGCTCTGCTTCCCCCCAGCCTCACAGGGGCAGCAGCATGCACATGAAGAGAGGAGGGCAGCAGCTGGAAAGGCAGCCACACCACATTGGAGGTACCTGTCTAATTAGGGTCCCAAGCCAACAGCATGGCAGAGAGCTCTGTGGGACACAAGAGCTAATTAAATCCAATCAACGTGTTCATTGACTGTTGACATTTGAAGTCAGCCCTGTATTTTCTCTCCCAAGTGCACACAGCCCCATGGCTGCCTAGCTCAAAAGTGAGGAAAGACTCCTCATGCCTCATCATGCTCTGGTCTCTGACTGCTTGGAAGCCCAAAATTCTGTGGTCTCTACCTGCCCAGTGACCTCTTGGGCTCCACAGCAGCACTGATGACAAGGAGCAGTCAAATCCCACCTCAGGGAGGCCATCACATCTTCTGGGCATCATGCAAGAGTGTTGTGATGCCTGGCAGCCATGTCCCAACCCACGGCAGCATCAGCCAAGGAAGCCCCTTCTGAGCCACAGCTGGAAGAGAGCAGCCTCGCCATGGGGCATGCAGGCAGCCTCCTCTCCCAGCCCTGAACTGGTGCTGTGCACACATAAATGTCATCACCCCTGCCCTCACACTGTGTAGATTCCTCTTCCCTCCACAGTATGAATATTCAAAATTCTTCATGACCAGAAATAGCAAGGCATAGCAGTTATGATTCTGCAATATGGGGGAAAGGGGGTGAAAACAAGGGGGAAAAAAAGCATGTACGTGCATGCATCTTCCCCAGAAACTGGCTGTAAAAGTGCTCTGAAGGAGGCAGGCTGGAAAAATTACCCTGGGTGCTAGGCAGGACATTACCCTGGGCAGGAATGACTGACATGGACTTACGGGGCTCTTCACTGCGCCTCTAGCACAGCACAAAGCACTCCAGCTGTCCCTGAGGTTCCCCAAGAACACCAGCATCAATATTGCATGTTCACAGTAACATCTACGTTACAGTCTTACAGACCGCAAAGGCTTTTGTCACTCAGCTATAAAATATTTACAGAGCCGTGGTCTCAGCAGAGAATGCGAGAATTTAAAGCTTTAAATATTGATATTGAAATGAATTAACACTTGATTGCCTTCCTAATATCAATACTAAAAAAAAATGTGTTCTCCTTCTAGCAGTGCTGTTGAAAACCTGCCTTAAATGAGCACAGACCCATCAATCACTCCCTCTGGCAGAAGTCAGTCTCTGCCCACCGGGAACAGGCAGGCACACACCTGCAGGCAGAAGGCTGGACATGAAACCTGCACACATCTCCAGAGGGAAGGTGCGGCGGAGCCTTTGATTCCGTGGCACTTGTCACTCGGAGTATGATCCTGCAACGCTGACCTGTATGGGGATCCTCTATTTAAAGCAGAGCTTTTCCTAGCATCCCGCCCGAAATCCGTGCTGTTCCTGACCAGCTATTCACCCACCTGTGGGAAAGCACCCGGCGATTTCGGGCCCTTGACAAGTGGACATAGGTTGCTTACACAGCCTTCCCTCAGCCAGGCACTGCCACCACAGGAGCGCGGGGACCCGGCGACCCCCGGGCTCCCAGGGGCTCCCAGGGCCCAAGGATATCCCAAGGATAAGGGATGCTGGGGGGCCTCTGACAGCCCCGCTTCTGCCCACATCGCCATTTACGCCGGGCCATCGATGGAGCAGGCGACACAGGATGCTCTTAAAACAACGGGAAAGCCGAGGCCGTGGATCCAGCCCGCCTTGGCCCCGGCTCCCGCTGAGGGAAATGGGGCGCGGTGGCCCTGAAGAGCCCGCTCGGTCCATGGCTGGGCGCACGAATGGGAAGGACCCAAGGTCACCCTCCAGGCAGGAGCTGCACCAAAGCGGACAAACGGGCAAGGACAACGTTCTGGTAACGGGAGCAATCACGGAATAGTTTGGGTCGGAAGGGACCTCAAAGACCTCATTCTAACTGCCCTGCCGTGGGCAGGGACACCGTCCACTAGAGCAGGAACCCGGCTGCCGTTCCCACCCCCGCTGCCCCGGGCCCGGCCGCCCCCGGCACCCCCGGGGGGATGGGGGCGGCCCCGGGCGCGGCCCCGGGC